GCTTACAACTGCTGCAGTCCATCTTTGGAAGACCCAGTCTTCAGGATAGCTACTCATTTTGATATTTTGATTCTGTATATCCTCATCATGGCATGTATAGGGCACATAGTTGGGCCCATTTCATTTTGCAACTAGTATCATGCCTTGTAAATATTAATTACATTAATACTGTAAATAGCATCAGCATGATATAAGAGTCTGTATCCATTATGATATCAACATGACAGGTCATAAAGTCAACCAGTTTGTAGCGTCTCGGTTCGGTTCATCCGGTTCATTCGGGTTAATGGTGGAACGGGAAGGGATGTTACAGTCCATATAAGAGTCTGTATCCATTATGATATCAACATGACAGGTCATAAAGTCAACCAGTTTGTAGCGTCTCGGTTCGGTTCATTCGGGTTAATGGGTGGACCGGGAAGGGATGTTACAGGTCTAGCTTTCACTTTAGTTACTGATAGCCAATTGCTCTTTTCTCTTCTTAATGATGGATAAGGAAATGAAGTATACTTGTGCAGCTTGCGTTGCTAGTACAAATGGTTCATACTTGTTAAATCTTCTTCTTTAATTTATATCCACTAAGTTATAACTTGCATGAACCTTTGTTCCTACATTTGGCGTTGGATCAAATCATTCACAGCGGAACAATATTATTCTCTCGATAGGTAGTCCTAGATACTCCAATTAACTTCTAGCAACCTACATAGTAATCACTTTACTTCTCACTATAATTTGTACCCTTTATGCATACGCCGCTATTCATAGTCGTTTTGTTAGACCCACGAGCCTCTGTGTGGAATTTGTACCGGTTGACAAAATAGCCTGTATACACTTGCACTGTATATAGAGGGCCTTTTGCAAGAGTTTTGATGAATTGATTAGAACTAGAATTTGCACTATGTATACCGAGCCTGTTGCACTATATACACTTGCAATGTATGCACTTGCACTACAAATAATTGACTTCAAATGATAAACTTTGGCATCAAGAACTAGAATTTGCTTATATGTTGTTTCGTTGACAAAGTAAATTTATTTAAATATTATTCTCTTTTTTGTTTAATGTACTTCAGTAATTAGCAATTAAAAGTATATTAATATGAAATATATTGATAATAATTAAAATATTTGTAATTTTGTTTTAGTTAAAATTTTTGAATAGTATAAAACTTTTCAATTAGATAGTGTACAATAAAATTTTTAATTAATATAAAACTTCTCAGTTAGAAATTGTACAATAAATATTTTTATTATGAATTATTAAAATAATAATCTTTATTTTTTCAATAAATAAAATTAAAAACCTTAAAGACATTTTTTTGGGTCCCATTATTCTTCTTATTTTTGCTTTTATATTATAGATAGATAAATAGTTATGTTTACTTGACTAAATTTAAGAAACATATAGCATTATTAAATTATTCAAAAGAAAGAGCAATTATTTCTTAAATCATATTAATTATAGGTATCTTAGTGGTTTGGGATTTTTAATAGAATTAATTATAATTAAATAATATCTAAGAGTTGTATAATATTCCTTAATAAAATACTATATATATTTAATCAAAATATTTTAATTGAAAATTGTTTATCTATTGTTTGATTGAAATATTAATCATATTCATTTTATTATTTTAAATAAATCATATTAACTACTTGTATTTGTATGTTTTCGAATTTTTTTAATCAAATTAATTACACTGAATCATTTATAAAAGTTGTATAGTACTTTTATTTGTTAAGTAAAATATCACACATATTTTTTAATTAAAATTTTTTAATTAGCTGTGACTAAGAATATTTAGGATTTTTAATTAAAATCTTTTATTTTAATTGATCATGCCTAACGATATTTTAAGATTTTCAATTAAAAACTTTTAATTGGTCATGTCTAATGATATTTTAGTATATCTCTAATATCACTAAAGATCAATTTAAAAAATCTCATTAGTCCTTTCTCATTCGCACTCTATACATATAGATAGATATAAATTATGATATTTTGGAGAGCTCACTTAACCCTAAGTAAAATATTTTTTTTACATATATATTTTTTCATGCTCGAAATCTCTTGACCTTCATCTTAGAAATTTTTGAAGATCCAACCACTTGTTGATAATAAAATGTCAATTTTTGTTGCTCGAGTTGAGAGTCGTACTTAGTTAATGCCCTCTCAACAATGCCAATCCTTTTTTAGTTTTAACTATCTGATATCTAAAATCCACGGGTTAGACTAACTTAGATTTGCATTGAGCAGATTCATAAAGGAGGCAAAATGCTTTCGAGTGTTTGAAGGGACTATATATCAAAATTCGAATTGAGCAGTGATGGAAGGAAGGGAAATGTGTTTGAAAGAAAGGTTATCCTGAGATAAGTCTCATTTGGCTTAAATTAACCTAAGTTAAATGGGGCTGGAGAGGGTGCCATTGCCTCCCTGGCTTCTATAAAATCATTAGCGCACTAATCTAACAGAAGATCCTTGGTAACTTAGCACAATGGATTCCAAACCAGTTGATGTGAATTCGCTCTACAAGCATACATCGTCTAATTTTAATTTTTTTTATGGTAAAAACAAATCCTAATATATTTTTCTAGTGTATTTTATTTCTTAACATGTATAAAAACTCTGGATCTAATTTATTTATATATAATAACTCTAAACCTAGTTTATTTTTATATATAACTATTATTTTCAATATATATATTATTAAATAGAATAAACATTTTATATTAAATCGAGAAGAAATATGGTAAGGTATTTTTTTTTTGTTGCCATTGAATTATTTTTATCATTGATTTCAGTTGTTTTTTAAATTTAATTTTAGGTTTGATTTCATTCTATGAATACATAAAAATTCACATAATTATTAAAATATGCCATAGTATTATAAATTTATAATTCAACTGTTATTATTGGTTATTCGATTAAATTTTAATAACTTGAAAAATTTTTAAAATTCTATGAATAAGTATATGATATTTAATATATTCAAAAAGATGAATTTCACATTATAATTCATGATTCTATATATAGCTGAAATTAATATTTTTAAAATTAATAATAATTTACTCTTTATGATGTTTTAACAAGTTTTTATTTTATGAAATATTAATAATGTATAATGCTTATATGACAACTTAGACCTAACTTTTAATTAGGTTTATTTTTTATGTTTTATTCATAGTATAAAATGATGAATTTTTGCCCTGGAGAAAAAATTGTGACTCTGTTATTGAATTCGAGATCTTTGGTTAAACGAGAAGAGATCCTATCATCCCATTTCATTCCTCCGGAGATCAATGACAGCTCTAAATTTTAAACTTTTAATTTTGTTTTAATTTTTAATTTTTACTTTTTTTTAACGACGTTGGAGCTTTAATTATTTTGTTTTATGTGTAAGGACATGGGAGGTCTTATCTTTAAATATATCAGAGTGACAGAATAAAAAATTATATATTTTGTTTTCAAATACAACATAACATTAGTTTGTAATATAATGATAATTAGGTAAGGATATGATTATTTTAAGAATGAATTTAACTCAACAGCAAATTCCATTTGTTCGTTGACCAATTATTTCGTTACAGTCATATATAGTCTATAATTTGATAACTGTATTTCTTAAATTAAATATGAAAAACGAATCTTGTACTTGTAATGACATGTTACCAATAATATTTATAATTGGTCAATTGAAACATTTATATTATCATTATTGTTAATTAATTAGAGTGTCTTTAATTTATAAATTATTTAGACTCATTGCTCAGATTCGTCATTTAAACATGAAACGACAAAGAATAAGACAAAGTTTACTGTTGATTTATTAATTTTAAGATATCTTTTACTATTTTTTATTTATTAAATAGCAACTTGGTTGTTATGTCACTGTCATTTAATGTACAATATTTTAGACTAATCTTCTGAGGTGATTTGAAATACCCCGGATTTTTATTTTCAAAACTTTTGAATTTTCATTAAATCAAAAATCTAGATTTATGATAATATGAGCTGTTAAGACCGAGTAATTCTAATTGAACCCAAAATTTTACGAATTGAGCCCAAGCCTAAAAACATATTATTTAGAATTTTCGTTTGGGTAATATTATGAATAAATATGAGCCTGTTAAGAACCGAGTTAATTCCTAATTGAACCCAAAATTTTTACGAAATTGAGCCCAAAGCCTTAAAAAACAATATTATTTAGAATTTTCGTTTGGGTAATACTTAAAATTTCCGATGAAAATAAAATGGAACACTATTGTTAATCGATTAAAAATGTGTCTATATATAATGTAACTAATAATATAAATTTAATCAGCCGAAATTAAAATAATCTTTTGGTATTAAATATTTTATGAATAAATGAGAAAATATTACGAAACTGAACCAAAATAATCAAATAAATTTGAACGCGGACCCAAAAATCAAATTAAAAATTTTTCGAAAACCAGATGAAAAAATCCATATAAATAATTGGAAAAACCAAGCTAAAACCACGATTTTAAAACCAAATAGACTCGAAATCCGACCCAAACCCCATCCCACCAAATTAGAAAATTCTAGAAAAAAAAAAAAAGAAAGAAAAGAGAAACGAGAAGAGAGACTTAGTGGCCTCTCTCTCGCTCTTCTCTCTCAACAACCCCCCTCCCCTCTTCTTCTCGTTCTCTGACCACCGGCCACCAAATCCGGTAAATAAATACTCTAAAAATATCTACTCATCGCAAGGAGTATGATTCAAGCCTTGGTTTGTGCGATTTGAGCCCGGATTGAGAGAAAATTCAATCGAAAGGTGCGACGCCATAGTAGCAATTCTTTCGGCCATTCACGCCATTTCCGGCGACCTGAGGCTTCAAGGTAGGTGCCGATCGACTCCTCTCTTCTCCTTCTTTCATTTGACTGTTACGGTGTTGAGTATGGTGGCCGGAATCGGAAAACCCAAAGTGGGTACCACCGAACATTTCCGGCCAACTGGTTCACACCCACCTTGTACCACCGAACATTTTTGGCCAATTTCCGGCCAACTGGTTCACACCCACCTTGATTTGAACACATATTAGTGATCCTCTCATCGAAACGAATAAAATGATGTATTATTTGTCAATTTTGGTGAAGGTTAAATTTTCCGGCCACCGTGCACGGCGGCGGTGGTGGCGGTCCGGCGACCGGCCGGCGAGACTTCAAGAGACAGAATGCTCTCCTCTTCACGCGGATCACGGAAATGAAATCTGATTTTCAATCGGTACACTCTAAAGGGTACACTCTAAAGCTTAATTCGGCAATTTTTGAATAAATCCTGAAATTAATTAATTGATGTTAATTAATGAACTTAATTAAGTATTTAAGTAAATTAAATTAAATATTGTTAAATATATTTTAATGAATATTAATTATAACTATAAGGACGGTACTAAAATACAAATTCCTACCTAATAATAAATTTTAGGAATTTTATTAACAAATAAATAGTTATAGATCAATTAATTATAATGGACTATGTGAATTAAGTGACTGAATAAATGACGGTTATGGCGGACGAGATTAGTGGATATGAATTTGCCCGATGGATGGGCTGTGCGTGTGGATTTGTGAAAATTTGATAAATTGGGGTAGTACAGTTTACCAAAGTTTATAGAGGAAAATTGCTGCACTTAATGAAGAATTAAATTAGTTATATTCTTAAGAAGTAGTGACGACAAAAATTTGAAGTATTAAGAAATATTATACAATATTAGAATTATCATTATACAATATTTCTCACCGAATAATTAGAGATTTTATCTAAAGGTTATAAATTAGAATAGTTATTTATATAAATGAGAGAACCTAAATATATATGCTATATAACAAGTGAATTAAATGACTGGTAGCCAAAATAAATAAACGAATGTGAAATATAAGTTTTTGAATTAAAATTCTTATTTAGAATTTTCTTGTTTATTTTAAAGGTTTATAAAATACATAAAATACAAAAATGTGAAAGGACATAAAGGCTGGAAAGCAAATGTGGCCTAAAAGGCAGTCCTTGTAAAGGACAATAAAAAGAACTGTGAGTAGAGTTAGGATAACTAGTACAATCCGCCTGCATTCATGCATTCACGGCTAAATGTTTATCAATGCAATTAATTATTATTTGAGTTGCATATTAGTGATGCACTATTTGTTGATTATAAAAATTTGGTTTTGATTAACTTGTGCTAATGAAAACATACTAATGCCTTGTTTGTGTGGAATTGGGATGAAGTGGACCACCATGGGTTGGGTGAGGACGGTCTAAATGTGATATGGATCCTAAAATAATGATATGATATGATATTCGGCGCCGTGTGGCCGGGAAAATGGGAGATCGGCGCCCCGTGTGCACCTGATGATTAATGGATTGTATAGGAAAACCACATGGATGGCTTTCTTGTTGTTGCGCACCTTGATAATCTAGATTTGATTTGTACCCGCAGGGTGGCGCTCCTGTCGTGAGCACTTGATGATCTAGATTGGAATGGAGACCGCACCGGGTTGCTCCTGTTGGTATGGAAAAGAAAAGAGGAAGAATGGAAAAAACAAATGAGAAGGACATGGTCAGTGAGGATTTAGACCAGTTGGTCCGTATGGGGGATCGGCTCGCCTGGGTGCACATGGTATGAGAGGGCGAGCCATGTTGTGAGGACGGCTCGTTGGGGGTTTCAGGTGGTGCCACCTGACTAAATGTTCACGTGGGATGTGATTATATGAAGGTGATAATAACTAATGATTGCTGTTGTATTTGCCATTTTGTGTGACAAATTGCATGATCATTATAATTAAAATAGGTGACCAATAGAAATATTTTAGCAATCTGTGTGATTGTGTGGGGTGAGAGGGTTATCTAACCCTACTCATTGAGTTTTGGCGCTCCACCCCTGCCTAGCTATTTTTTTTTTTTCAAGGTAATAGGAAAGAAAGAAAGCCCTATGGAGTTGAAATAACGTTATTAATAGAAGACTGTTAATGACAGAAATAAATATGGTAAATGTAGAGGTAGAGTTCCGCAATTGTATTCTAGTTGGGTTGTAAGTGCATAATGAAAGTAACCAAATTTAATATATGAACTGTATTTTTGGAATGCATATGTATATTATAAGTTAATGGGTCTGAATCCATATTATGATAGAAGTTGGAACTTAAATAAGTTAGGCTTACTAAGCGGACTTCGGGGGCCTTAACCCACCTAGGTCCTAAGTGCCTAGTCCGGTCCACTGGAAATGGGTCGTGACAAAAGTTTGGTATCAGAGCATAAGTTTTGGGCCTATAGGAATGCAAAATTGCGGAACATAAGAAATTAAATTAGAGAGCTCCTATTGGGATCGGCCGTAACCAACAAAGGAGCTGTAGTCTGGATTGAATTTCATTTTAGTGCCGGTGGACGCATCGTGCACAAGGATGGAAGGAAATCTGTATGAAACTTAGGACGAGAATTAAAAGTACAGAAATAATAGTGAATTATAAACAGGTCTGGGTAACTGACGTTTATGAAATAAATATTGAGTTTCGCTAAATCCCCTCCATTTATTTTGAAGCAGAAGATCAGTTGAAAATTGGTGTAATGGCCTGATCACCTAATACACCTTGATTCGACAAGAGACACTGCTTCGAAAATTATTTGAAATTGTTTGGAAAAGAATTCGAAGTTTTAAAGACAATATGAAAGTGAATTTATTTGAACTTTGATTTGAGAAAAATGTTTTATTATTTGTTTATTGGAAATTGTTTTGAAGTTGCAATTAATTGTTTGATTTTTATTGTTTTGTCGGCATGTCAAAAATTTGATTTTTATTGTTTTGTCGGCATGTCAAAAATTTATCTGATTTTAGAATTTAAATTATTTACAATGATTGTATGTTTGATTTATTTATTTGTTTTTATCATATTGTCTATCCCGAGGACTACATTAGGACTATAGAAATAAAAAAATGATAAAACTAATAGAAATTAGATTCTAGAAATGTTACTGTTAGGGAAAAAAAAAAAAGGGGGTGGAAATTGTAATTTAAATTAAATCAAGGGTTAAAAAAAAAAGGGATTTAAGACAAATAAATTAAATTCTCAAGTATTCAAGTTGAAACTCAAGGATGTAAAAAGAGAAAATTTGTAAATTTCTTAAGTATAACATTAAGGAGAAAGGAGATGTAATACCCCGAATTTTTATTTTTAAAACTTTAGAATTTTTATTAAATCAAAAATCCAGATTTATGATGATATGGGCTGTTAAGATCGAGTAATTATATGGGCTGTTTAAGATCGAGTAATTCTAATTTGAGCCCAAAGTTTTACGAATTGGGGGCTTCAATGCCGAAAAACATATTAATTTAGAATTGTCGTTTGGGTAAATACTTAAATTTTCGATGAAAAATAAGTAAAATGGGATACAAATTATTAATTGATCTTAAATATATGTTTATGTATGTAATTGGTATATAAACTAAAATCAAATATCATTACTGTTACTATTTTTATTAATATTGAGTAAATGGGAAAAATGTTACGAAACCTAATTAAAATAATCAAATAAATTGAACCAGACCCAAAAATCAAATTAATTTTTCGAAACCAGATGAAAAAATCCATAAATTAATTGAAAAACCAAGCTAAAACCATGATTTAAACCAAACCAGACTCGAATCGACCCAAACCCCATCCACCAATTAGAAAATTCTACTTTTTCTTTTCTTTTCTTCCTTCCCCTTCCCCTGGATCGCGCGACATCCTCCTTGTCAAAAGAGAAACGAGAAGAGAGACTCAGTGGTCTCTCTCTCGCTCTTCTCTCTCAACAACCCCCCTCCCCTTTTCTTCTCGTTCTCCGACCACCGGCCTCCAAATCCGGCAAATAGATACTCTAAAAATATCTACTCGTCGCAAGGAGTTTGATTTAAACTTTGGCTCCGTTGCAACAACTTCTCCGGCGATTTCCCATCGCTTCCGATGACTTGAGGCGTCGAGGTTAAATTTTCCGGCCACCATGCACGGCGGCGACAGCGGTGGTCCGGCGAGGCTCCGGTGAGACTCCGGCGAAGACCCCGAGAGGCAGAATGATCTCCTCTTCGCGCGGATCACGAAAATCAAATCCAATTTTTGATCGGTACATTGTAAGGCCTAGTTCTCATCGAAACGAATAAAACGATGTATTGTTTGTCAATTTTGGTGAAGGTTAATTTTTCCGGCCACCGTGCACGGTGGCGACAGCGGTGGTCCGGCGAGGCTCCGGCGAAGACCCCGAGAGGCAGAATGATCTCCTCTTCGTGCGGATCACGAAAATCAAATTCGATTTTTGATCGGTACATTGTAAGGCCTAGTTGCTTGTTTTCGGTATAAATTTCAAAACTTGAATTAATTAATAGCTTGTTTAATTAAATAGAATCTTCGTTAAATGAATATAATTAAGTTGTTAAAAAAAAGTTTAATTTAGATAAGATGTTGAACTTAGATTGAGATATATATAAGGTTGGTACTTAAAATATTATTATTGCTGAGCTAAATAATAACTTTTTAAGGAATTATTATTAACAAATAAATACTTATAATTATTAACAAATAAATACTTATAAAACAATTAATTTTAATGGGCTATGTGAATTAAGTGACCGAATAAATGACGGTTATGGCGGACGGGATTAGTGGATATAAATTTGCCCGATGGATGGGCTGTGCGTGTGGATTTGTGAAAATTTGATAAATTTGGTAGTACAGTTTATAGAGGAAATGCTGCCCAAATTTCGGTGAACACTTAGTAAAGAAATCCGTAATAGATAATACGACTAAAATGATTATCGTTTTTGATATTATATTATCAATCGTATTATTACTATTAATAATATTATTATGATTAATATTCGTATTCTTCTTAGCGTTATTATAAAATATTACTTAACTACTTACGGATAACTAAACGTTTTATTTAAAGGCGAGCAAATTAGAATAAAATAAATAAATAAGGAAACCGCAAGTATATATCTTATATAAGTGAATTAAATGACCTGGAAAACCAAAAAAAGATAAATAGCTATAGAGCCTCAAAAAGTGGTAACGAATGCAAAGTATATTTATGAGGTTAGGATTTTTATACAGGATTTTCTTTCTAGATGTGTATGAGCTCTGGGATGGTGAGACAAAAGCTAGAAGGATGCAGTACTAGAGATAGTCCTTTAGAGGGCAATAAAGAACTGTGAGTAGTGTTAGATAATTCGCCTCATCCGCCTGCATTCATGCATT